CTGAGGATGCAAAGGCGTTGTTCTGGTTTTATTGGCTCCTACCAATCGACAAACATCTTGGAACAAAGCCGATTCAAAGTTCCTTCCTTGGTCTGAATGGATTTCTATAGGAACACCAAAACGTGTAAAGAACTCCTTTACCAACACTTCTGCAACTGTTGCTGTCTCTTGGTTTGGAATGGCGTAAACTTCAGTCCACTTTGTGAAATAATCCATAGCCACTAGGATATATTTCTTTCCGCCATCTGTCTCTGGAAACGGTCCTGCGATATCGATAGCAACTCGTTCCATCGGACTACCAACGTTATACTGCCTCATGGGTGCCTTCTTCTTGGAAACTGGTCCGTTTCCAGTAGCACATAACTCACATTTTCGACACCATCGGCGGACATCTTCTTTACGGTTGACCCAATAGAATCGCTCACGTACCCTTTGTAACGTTTTCGTAATACCAAAGTGTCCTCCGGAAGAGCCGTCATGCAATTTTCGCAATACTTCCGACACTTTGCTTCTAGGTACTACTAATTGCAGCGTCGATTCGGTGCCATCTTCACTTTCAAGGGTCCTATACAACAGGTTGTCTTTCAGAGTCAGGCTATTCCATTGGCCCCAATAACTCTTTACTTCAGGACTTGTGGCACTAATGTCTTGCCAGCCTGGTCTTTGTCCGTGGCGCATCCAATTCAGAACAGTTTTTATACTTGGGTCGTTTTCTTGGGCCGTTTTGATTTCGCTTGGCTTCCATTCCTCACTCTCTACAGTTGTTCGTCGCAGATGGCCAATCTTGTCTTCTATTTTAGAACAATGTGTGCAGTTGTCCTTGCACGGTCTTCTTGACAAAGCGTCTGCATTATTGTGAACTTTTCCAGCCCTGTGTTCAATGTCGTAGTCATATTCCTGAAGACGTTCTAACCATCTTGCCACCTGTCCTTCTGGGTTTCGGAACTGCAAGAGCCACTTTAGCGCTGCATGATCTGTCCTTATCAGGAACTTGCGGCCGTAAAGGTACTTATGGAAATTTTCGCATGCCTTTACTACACCCAGGAGCTCTCGCCTAGTCACACAATAATTCCTCTCGGGTTTCAACAGTACTTTGCTGAAATAGGTAATGACTCTTTCCTGTCCGTCTTGCAATTGAGAGAGAACAGCTCCAATGGCGGTGTTACTGGCATCGGTATCTAGCACAAACTTTCCTTCATTTCTGGGGTAGCCAAGGATAGGTGCGCTAGTAAGAGCTTGCCGGAGATGTTCGAAAGCTCTTTGACAGTCTTCACTCCATTCGTACTCATTGCTCTCTTCCGTCAACTTTATTAATGGTTTGGCAATGTTGGCAAATCCTTTCACGAATCGTCTATAATAGGTGCACAAATCGAGGAAACTTCGAATCTCTTGCTTGTTCTCAGGAATCGCCCACTCTTGAATCGCTATAATCTTCTCTGGGTCAGCTGTAACACCATCACGAGATACGATGTGCCCCAAATATTTAACTTCTTTTTGGAACATAAAGCATTTCTTGGGACTTAGTTTTAAATTGGCCTCTCGTAATCGTCCAAACACCTCTCTCAGGTTCTTTAGGTGTTCTTCAAAAGTTTTTCCTACGACAATTACATCATCCAAATATACCAGACATGTCTGCCACGTTAGTCCCCTTAGAACTGCTTCCATAAGTCTCTCAAACGTCGCGGGGGCATTACACAATCCGAAAGGCATTACTGTGAATTGCCAAAGTCCAGAGCCTATAGAAAACGCGGTCTTCTCTCGGTCTGTCGATTCCATCCCCACTTGCCAATAACCACTCTTTAGGTCGAGTGTGGAAAACCATTGGGCTCCAGATAGAGTGTCCAAGGTGTCGTATATTCTTGGCAGTGGATAGCTATCTTTCTTGGTGACCGATTTAACAGACGGTAGTCAACGCAAAATCTTGTGGAGCCATCCTTCTTCTTTACAAGCACTATCGGTGATGACCAAGGACTATTCGATGGCTCGATGACACCTTGTTTTCTCATGTCTCTAATAATCTCTTCCGCTTCGTCTCGTTTAGCCAATGGGAGTCGCCTTGGCTGTTGTCTAATCGGTTGGGAATTGCCAGTATTTATTTTATGGGTGACTATGCTTGTCTTGCCCTTGTCCTGGTCGTTTACCGCGAACACATCTCGGAATTCCACAAGCATATTTTTCACCTTTTGTCGTTGTCTATTGTCCAAATCTGGGGTGTTTTTAATGACCATGTCTATCAGCTCTCTTGGATACTTTCCTTTAGATAGATTTTCCGATCTCACAGAGCGAGTAGCCGAGATGGGCACACACTGTCCAACTACAGTTCGTTTGCTTAGCTTAACAGGACTATCTTTCAAATTCATAATTCGAATCGGAACGCCATTTTGAACTTTTACCAGAGCCCTAGCCACTAGAAATTCCTTTTCGTTTAGTGCTTCGACTATCCGTAGGCTTCCCTGGCGACAATATCCATCTAAAGTGGTCATTATAATTTTTTCACTAAGTCCGGGTATAATGACGTCATGAGTGGTTAACAGGCGGATGACATCTTCTTTGTCTTCATGGAAAGGGAGTTCTTCATCGCCGACATTTAACACGCCCTTTTTCACGTCTAACACAGCTCCGAGTTTCTTAAGAAGATCCATCCCCAAGATGAATTGATCAGAAATATCAGCAATTAGCACCTGGTGATTGATGGTGGTCTTTCCGATGGTGACAGACATTTGTATTTCTCCGTGCGTTTTTATTCTTTCACCAGTTGCTGTTTTTAACTGCACGGTCGAAGATGAGATCCGAGAATGATTCTTCAATAACTCTGGTCTTGCAATAGTTCTTGTTGCACCTGTGTCTACTAGCAAGGATCTGTCTTCTCCATTAACTCGGCCGTCGATGTACAAACTCAGAACTTTTCTAGACGACGTAATGTTTACAGTGAAGATCGGGGCTTTGTTTCTGCAGGTCGACGATAGCCCCTTCCTGTCGACCTTTCTTAGTTTTCCGACTGCTGCAATGGTCTTTGGCAGTTGCGGCGAACGTGTCCAATCTCGCCGCAATTCCAACATCGTGGTTCACGTTTCTTTGCCAGTGACTGTATTGCTTTATTGACCTTTTCTTCCATTACTTTACTGACCTTTTCTTCAAAACTTTCAGAGCCCCCTTCCTCTTCCATGGTTCTTACCCGGCTGTCACTGCGAGGTTCCACCATACGTACTCGCGCACTTCCGTGACTAGCTTTCTTGGCGGCTTCGAATTCTAACGCATGGGCCAAAGCTTTTTCAATTTTGTCGTGCCTAGCCAGTCTCAAAGCCTGCTGGGCATCTCCATCACGAACGGCATCGATAAATGTTTGTACAGCCAGTTGATCAAGAAAGCTCTCCGGTGCCGTAGGGTATGCCAATCGAATCAGTCTAGCGATGTCCGCTTCAAGTTCCTGCAAACTTTCTCCAGGTTTCTGCATTCGGTTCTTGACTTGGGCATAGTAAACTTGCTGAAGGTGTTTATCGCCATATCGCATTTCGAGTCGCGCTACTATTTGTTGGAAGTTCTGTTGATCCTCGGGGATGGTCCGCAACACATCCAGAGCATCTCCTCTCAGAGCAAGAATCAGGGCTGTAGTTTTGTCTTGAAGAGTCCATTTATTTGCCGCAGCCGCTGCTTCAAACTGTCGAACGTACGTGGTCCAAGGAATCTTACCATCAAAAGTAGGTGGCTTTACTCGGGCTTGCTGAACGTCGCCTTCTACTCTTGTATTTGTTTCTGGGTCGACCTTCTTGTAATGAGTAGGCTGTGGCACCTCAAGAAGACGGTCCATCAGTAATTCATCTGGGGCACTACTAGTACGCTCTTCCGTAGTCAGTCGCAAGAATTGCTCGCGCAGCTCTTCATACTTGTGCTCAATCTCAACGAATGTTGCTTTAAATGTTTTGGAAACTTCCGTAATTCTATCTTCAACTTTTTCTTCAATTGATTTAGAGACTTCTTCGATAATCTTTCTAGAATTTTCTTCCATTTTCTCGAACTTCCCTTCAAAATTTCTAGAATTTTTTTCCATCTTTTCTTGGTTGCTTTTCATTTCTTGTTGCAACACCTGTTGGCCATTTTGGATTTGATGGAGCAACTTGAGCATCGTTTCTTCCATTTTACCGGCAGCAGATCGTGTTACAGGCATACACAAGCACAAGCACTTAATTTAATCTTACTTTTAATTAATTTCATTAACCCCACACCAGACACCAATGTAACGTGATTTATAAATTCGGGTTCGATTTATATCAATATTTATTAAACAAAACTAAAACACTATAAAAACTGTACAATTTGTATCGATTATTTATATCACACACTTCGCAATTTATATTTCCGCGCTCGATGTTTCATCCGTACTCGATCTCGTTCGGTAGTAAACTCCCTGCGATGTTCGGTCCGCAACCATTTATACACGCAAGCAATGTAAGTCCAGAACACTCGCGTAATTACCGGATAAGTCTCGAATATTCCTATACAAATCCCACTATCGCGCGCGTAGAAAATTCCAGAGCGCCAAAGGCGACGTCATGTCTGGAGCGTTTCCGTTACAATAATGTCAGAAACTATCAGGTATCACCAAAATAACACGTGAGAATACCAGAAGAATACCAGGAAATACCAATTTAAAAAATACCACAGTAACGAAACACTGTCTAAGAAAACCTGAAATCACCAAATACGTATTACCATTTCATCAAGAAAATACCATAAAAGTATCGGAAAGCGAAGACCATTTCGGGAAAATTGTGTTGAAATAAAGAAGGCATCGATAACGTTTTCCCTATAAACCTCAGTAGCCCCTTATTATTTTGGAAATGGTAATAGACCTGTTGTCTACTAGGGAGTATTGGAATACCCCCAGACTTGATGGTAACACTTTCTTCCACAAACCATTTAATCATCGGGACTTGATTGAGAGTTCTGGAGATCTCAGATCCTTTCAAGAAGAATCCCCAATTTAAAGAAACCAATGACGGCAATTAAAATTCCATGCGTTCTCAACTAACGCCATAAGTTAAGCGGGTACCAATCATATCTTTCCAGGATGACGATCACTATGTCGACGCCGACATCTACAAGGGTGGCATTTTCTTGGGCTGCACCTTCGGAATTGCCGCCCTCTACATATGGGCCGTGGGCATTCTGGCGTCCGGACAAAGTTCGACGATGACAGGTAAGTTTTCGCCGGCCGGGCACTCGATCGAGCCGTCACCGAGCTTAACCCCGCAGGCACCTACGCCGGCCAGTTCGCGATGGAGGGTTTCCTGAACCTGCACTGGGTCCGTTGGAAGCGCGTCCTGCTGACTCGAAGTATCGCCATCGTTCCGACTTTCTGCCTCGCGTTCTTCAGCACGATTCAGAACTTGACGTCTTTTAACGATATTCTAAACGTGGTCATGAGCGTGCAGCTGCCCTTCGCGCTGATCCCCACAATTGCGTTTACGAGCAACGTGGAAATTATGGGCGAGTTTGTCAATGGAATGTAAGTGTCGCGCTCGAATTGCGTGGGAATAACTTGAATTTTAGCGGGAATATCCTCATGGCCATTCTCACTAGTTTGGGTATCGTAGGACTTAATACCTACTTCGTTTTGGCGACAATTGCTGGATTAGATATGACTTGGTACTATTGGCTGCTGTTTGCAGTCGTGGCCGTGGTGTACACACTATTTTGTATCTACCTCACTGTGCACATGGTGATATTTATGGGAGCGAAGAGGTTAATGAATTATCCGATAATCAATAAATACGTTTGGGGACCAAGCATTGATGCACAAGGAATGCCGTAAGTCCAAGGCTGCCATTCCTGTCCCATACTCCCTCTTGCACTTCTGTTCCCACCAACACCCGTTCCTACTCCCTGTTCACACCCAACTCCCCCGTTTCCACACGATCATGTACCCCTGTCCCCAAGCACTTCTGCTCCCACCCATCTTGGACTCAACCTATGTTCCCACACACTCCGATGTTTACTCGCTCCTGTTCACTATAATTTCTGCACTTTTCTAACCTTTTCGTAATTGCAGATGGACTCTACTACGTTCCTAACAGCCATTTTCCGATGACTATTAGTATTAGTACACATATTTGTATTTTTTGGTATTAAACTTCGAGAAAACTTAATCTACGTTATTGACAAAGTAACCCTGACCATTTTTGAACCTCCTTGCTTTTTGTACTCCTGATACACCAATCACAGATATACCTACTTTGCGCATATGTGTGCAACAATTACACAGGAGACTTACCTTAGGCGCATATAGCGCATGCATGATAAGCTACTCATACGTTTACATTCTGTACTCCTGATAAAATTTAAAAAAAACTTACCCAAAGTACCCAATACCTCAACTAGGATCGCGCTAATTTATTTAAAGTTTTGCGGGATCCCGCAAATACCGGGATCCCGCGGGATTAACATCTAGCAATCCCCCAAATACATTCTGTAAGAAAATTTTTTTTCCGGATCGATCTGAGACAATTTTTTTCGTGGCTCAAAAAAAGGCAGTGTATAACCTTCCTTTTTTACCAAAAATCGACTGCACCAAAATTTCTCGGGAAAACACTTTTTCTTATTAATTTTGGTGCGTAGAATCCAAAACAATTCGTACTTTTTCGATCAGACTTCTCAATCAAAAGTTATAGACTAGAAACCAATTTCGAAAAAAAATTCAAAGGGCTGTAACTTTTGAACTAGTAGCCCAATCTTGGAACTGTTTGAAATTATGGATTCTACAGGCCACATTCTATAAGAACATTGTTTTTCCGGGTCGATCAGAGACAATTTTTTTTTCGGGCTCAAAAAAAGGCAGTGTATAACCTTCCTTTTTTACCAAAAATCGACTGCACCAAAATTTCTCGGGAAAACACTTTTTCTTATTAATTTTGGTGCGTAGAATCCAAAACAATTCGTACTTTTTCGATCAGACTTCTCAATCAAAAGTTATAGACTAGAAACCAATTTCGAAAAAAAATTCAAAGGGCTGTAACTTTTGAACTAGTAGCCCAATCTTGGAACTGTTTGAAATTATGGATTCTACAGGCCACATTCTATAAGAACATTGTTTTTCCGGATCGATCAGAGACAATTTCTTTTTCGGGGCTCAAAAAAAGGCAGTGTATAACCTTCCTTTTTTTACCAAAAATCACTGCACCAAAATTTCTCGGGAAAACACTTTTTTTATTAACTTTGGTGCGTAGAATCCAAAACAATTCGTACTTTTTCGATCAGACCTGTCAATCAAAAGTTATAGACTAGAAACCAATTTCGAAAAAAATTCAAAGGGCTGTAACTTTTGAACTAGTAGCCCAATCTTGGAACTGTTTGAGATTATGGATTCTACAGGCCACATTCTATAAGAACGTTGTTTTTCCGGATCGATCAAACACAATTTCTTTTTCGGGGCTCAAAAAAAGGCAGTGTATAACCTTCCTTTTTTACCAAAAATCAACTGCACCAAAATTTCTCGGTAAAACACGTTTTTTTATTAACTTTGGTGCGTAGAATCCAAAACAATTCGTACTTTTTCGATCAGACCTGTCAATCAAAAATTATAGACTAGAAACCAATTTCGAAAAAAAATTCAAAGGGCTATAACTATTGAACTAGTAGCCCAATCTTGGAACTGTTTGAAATTATGGATTCTACAGGCCACATTCTATAAGAACATTGTTTTTCCGGATCGATCAGAGACAATTTTTTTCTTCGGAGCTCAAAAAAGGCAGTGTATAACCTTCCTTTTTTACCAAAAATCGACTGCACCAAAATTTCTCGGGAAAACACTTTTTCTTATTAATTTTGGTGGGTAGAATCCAAAACAATTCGTACTTTTTCGATTAGACTTCTCAATCAAAAGTTATAGACTAGAAACCAATTTCGAAAAAAATTCAAAGGGCTGTAACTTTTGAACTAGTAGCCCAATCGTGGAACTGTTTGAAATTATGGATTCTACAGGTCACATCTCAACCGAAGATATGCGTTTGTAGTCTAACGCATTCTGCGTTCCCGTTGCAACATGTTCAAGATAAAATTCCTGACACTAAGCTTTGGCGCATCTAATTCCAACAATTTGGTAAAGAAAGCCTACTCTTGGCATTCTGCACGGTTGGTACGACAATACATTTTCTGGCAGACAGAGTACTCACTCACGAGTCAATACTATTGCATCTGCTTGGATTCTGCGTTCCTGTTACAACATTTTTCAGAGAGATTTACTATATTCTGTATTCCTGATGAAAAACGAAGATTTGGCGCACGTAGTTCCCAAAAAACTACGCACTCGCTTGCAAGTAGTATTCATGGTCAACAATTAAAAAAAAAGTTTACTCGAAGTGTTTTTTTCACCTCTTGGCATTCTGCACCCTTGATACAACAGGAAACTAAGCTCTGGCTAACACAGTACTTATTCAAAGAGGTGTTTGTCAATACTGTTGCATCTATTCGCATTCAGCGTTCCTATTACATCATTTTTAAGAGAAATTTGCTGCATTCTGTTTTCCTGATAGGAAATTTTATAAGAAAAACTTACCTTTGGTGCACAGTGCACACAATTGCCAATAACTTTAATTAACCTCAGTACGTCCTCGAGTTGGTTATTATTGCGTCTGCTTGCATCCTGTTACAACATTTTTAAGAGACATCTACTACATTCTGCATTCCTGATAACAAATTTTATAAGAAAAACCAAGATTTGGAGCACGCAGTGCCCAATAACTATGCACTCGTTTGCACTCAGTATTCCTGGTCAACAATTTAAAAAGTTTACTCGAAGTGTTTTTTTCACCTCCGCTGGCATTCGGCACCCTTAATACAACAATATAAAAAAGAAACTAAGCTCTGGGGAAGACACCACTTCCTCAACGAAGTATTTGTCAATACTATTGCATCCCGTGTTCCTGTTACAACAATTTAAGAGAGGAACTCACATTAGGCGTACATAGTTCCCAATGATTATGGACACGTTTGAATTCTGTATGCCTGATGCGACAATTTTAAAGGGACAGATTTTGCACCACTTTGCATTGTGTACTCCTGATTAAACAATGAAGGCGTCTCTTATTCATTTTTGCACCTCCTCGGATATTCATCAATTTTAAAATAATTGCCTCAAGCTTGGAGCTAGGCGTTTGGTCTTCTCGAGTGAACGTAGTGCCTGTGCTTATCAATGTTTCTATCTTTTTTTAGATTCTGCATTCCTGATGCATTTATTTTTATAGGAGAATCGCGTGTCAGGAGAACATGGTAGGTAATTTGGTTCTTTTTCACTGTCTTGCTTCTCTGATGTCGTCCTGATGAAATATCAGGGGACGCGTGTTACGTACCCTGTCATTATCTTTGGCACCACATTGCAATCTGTGATTGTGATACTCTCAGTATGTGCTCTCTTGGATATTAGGAGACCATAATACGCAAAAGGTGTTTTGCTTCCTTTCTGGACCATTTTAGGTAAACCATTTATAAGTCTCTCGGCCAGTGTTAATGGTCGTTTCAATCTGTCTTACTTTTGAACGGACCTGTGCTCCTGGTAGGTTCGAGCAACGTTATTTTTATTTGCTAATGGAGTACAATTCTGCAATCAATACACGACGGAGTTACACTTTCGTATTGAACGTAGGCGAATCCGCCACTGGTTCTACTAAAACGTACAGTAACATCTACGACACTGCATGCCGTCCCCTTCCATCGAAACCACACCTCCCCAACGGCCTTGGTACTCATTCTCTTTACAAGCTAAAAATAGAACAAGTCTGTTTTATCGTATGATTCATTCATGTTTTATAAACATAATTAGTGTTCCCATCCTTGCTACGGGGGGTTAATGTGCATTTTCCTGGAGATTTAGTGTTTTTTCGCTATTGATCGGTAAGTGCTTGACCTATTCTCCATTTGCTTTTGTACGCTTTTGTATTGCGCACAGATAATTTCGAGGATAAATTTAAAGGTTATTTAATTGAAGAGGTATCGCAATTAGACATTCACCTGTATGTAGTTACCGGGGTTGTTTGGAAAGTAGCTTGGTTTAATCGCCCGCTTATAGGTGGCGTTGGTGGCCTGCTAGTTAAATTACATGGTAGCGACCCAAAAGTCGTTCACTTTGTTCGAAACTTTGAAATTGACCAAATTTTTAATTTTAAAAAAATCAAAAATTCCAGAATAATTTCCTCACTTAATTAGCACCTAATTATAGTTAGTTTACTTTTCATTTTCTTGGTTTTTTGAGGTAGATTTCTGCTGAGTTCATATGAACCTGGCAAAACATGTAATAATTTTTAAAAAAAGGAGCATTTAATTCGGTGATAAGGCACTTAATTAGCACCTAATTATAGTTAGTTCACTTTTCATTTTCTTGGGTTTTAAAGGTAGTGTACTGCTGAGTTCATATGAACCTGGCAGAACATGTAATAAATTAAAAAAAGGAGCATTTAATTCGGGGATAGGGCGCTTAATTAGCAGCTAATTAGCACCTAATTATAGTTAGTTCACTTATCATTTTCTTGGTTTTTGAGGTAGGTAGATTTCTGCTGAGTTCATATGAACGTGGCAAAAAATGTAATAATTTTTAAAATAAAGGAGCGTTTAATTCGGGAATAGGGCCATTAACTCGGCCATTAATTAGCACCTAATTGTGCAATTCACATCGCCTTTTTTTTCTGGGGGGTATTCCAGCCCCCCGCCTATATGTACATTCTTCCCCAACTACTTACTTACATCAAAATTTCTGAAAATAGGCTGATCGTTTTGAAAGTGAAATCACTACCAGCGAGTAAAGGGGGGGGGGGGGGTATGGAGGACTAAAATTATTAGGGTCAGAAAACAGCTAAACCATCTATATTTATTGGGAGACACCTGTTTTTAAAATGGTGCCCTCATGACACAAAATGTCTCTTAAAAAGGGAAACTGTGAGAATAAACGGGGAACTTGAAACGTGGGGAGGGAAGTGGGAAGCGAAACGGTGAACAGGAAATAGAAGCCGTAGCGGGAAGTGGTAACGGAAAAGATAACGGAAAACTTGGTAACAGAAAACGGCGACGGAAAACGGTAACGGCGATTGTTAACTGGAGACGAATGCCGAGAAGCGGGATACAGAAAACGAGAATCGGCAAACGGAAATGCGGAGGGGGCGATAGAAGCGGGGGGTGCAAGTGGGTAGCGGGAAACCGCAAATGAGAAGTAGGAAACGGGGAACGAGGAAAGCGAAACGGTAACGAGAAAAGTAACCGGAAACTGTAACCGGTGATTTGGAAGCGGTAAGCGAAGTGGGGACAGGTACGAGAAACCTCGTGGGAAATAGTCGGACGGGAGTGGTGAACACGAGAACTGCGAAGGTAACCGAGGAACTTGAAACGGAGGTCGGTAGCGTGAATCTAAGATCGAAACGGTATGAGGAAAGTAGTAATGGGAAACGGTAACGGAAACAGGGACCGTTGATGGAAGGCGAATAGCAAGATACGGGAAACGAGTGGCGAGAAACAAGAAATGGGAAACTTTATGGGAGCCGGATAATGAAGGCTGGAAAATTGAACTGAGAAACACAAACAGAAACTGTTGACGGCAATGTGTACCTGGAAAAGGAAACGGTGACCGGGAACCGGTAAACGCGAAGTGGAAACCAGGACGCGGAGTTCAGAAGGGTTAAGCGAAGCGAGAGACAGAAACGGGAAACCGTGGATTTTTAAGTGTCTAACATTTTCCCTCTCTTAGAGGTTTTAGGGTTTCCATGTTCTCAAGGCCTCCAAAGCTTCTAAGGTTTTTATCTTCTGAAAAAGCTTCGACGTTAAGGCTATAATATTTTATCACTGCAAAGTTGCAAGGTTTAAAGGGTTTAAGGCCCCGACACTCCAAGGCTGAGGTGTCCCAAAACTTCAACTCTTTAGGATTTCAAGAATTAAGTTTTCTGTATTTCTAGGTTTTGAAGGTATTATAGACTGCATGGTCTTAAGGTCTTTTAGGTACCAAGGCTTCAAAGCCCAAAAATCAAGACATAAAGGAATTCAGTGCTTTCAACTACTCCAACAATCACAACAACCTTTCAGTTTTTAAGGTTTCCAGGCTTTAACGCCACAGGTGCATGGCTCAACTATTTTAAACCTTTAAAATGTCATTGTATAAAGGCCCGGAGAAGGGCTCCAAGTGTTTTAAGACTTTGAGAGTCAAGCTCAACAATTAAAAGGTCTTCTAAAAAAAGAATACCTCCCAGCAAGATATATATTCAAAGTAAAGAAGAACTTCATAACCCTTCCTCATCACACTGATCTTTTTCCTATAGTACCCTGGTGGTGGTTTTCTGAAAATAGCAAGGGAACTGTCATGAATATGTAACCGAGGGGTCTGGAATACCCCCCAGCATATACGATAGTCCGCTAGCTATTTTCAAAAAACCAGCACGAGGGTACCTACCATAGGAAAGAGGTGGGGGTTATGGAGAACGATTATGGAGTACTTTTAATGTAATTCTCCAGAAGTGGTCATTTTATCTTCCCCAGACCCCCCGAAAACTTTCTTCCACAAAACGTTCAGCCTGTAGGAATCTTATGATTAATTTTGGGCAAACATCAGATCCTCTTTTTCTAAGAAGTACTGCAGAGAACGCCACCGGAGGGTCTGGGGGTACTGAAGACTCCCACGTTAGCTTCATTCCCACATCAACTAATGTACTGTGTACCTGGAGGGGATGTAATACCCATCGGCATGGGAAGATTCAATTACCATTTCCGGTGATAACCCTTCCCCATCACCCCCACCCTTTCTTATTGTACTCTCGTGGTTTTCTGAAAATAGCAAGGGAAATGTCTCATATGCTGGGGGGTATTCCATATCACCCAGGCCCCCCGGCAACTCTTCCACAAAACGTGGAAAATTATATTAAAAGTAAAGAACTCGATAACCGTTCCCTCTAACACCCATCCCTTTCCTATGGTAGGTACCCTTGTGGTGGTTTTATGAAAATAGCAAGGGAACTGTCGCATATGCTGAGAGGTAATCCAGACGGGTCTGTTAACTTGCCCCCCCCCCCCCCCCCCCTGCGCTAGTTGTATTATGAAATGAATGCGCTCGTTATGCGCTCATATGCGCGATAATAACTCTTGCGCCATTATCGTTTTTAGAAATCCGAAAAAACATTGGGGGGGGGGCAAGTGAACGTACCCCCCCCCCCCCGTACTTATTTTGTTCCTTGTAACTAGGTCACCTGATACATTTGGGTATGCGCTCAATTGCGCCACTTGAATTAAAGCTAGCGCCATTACGGTTAAGCCGTGACAAATTTTCAAAAAGTGGGGGGGGGCAACTTAACGTTTTTAAAAGTTATTTCCGGAAGTGCGTCCATTTTGAAAATATTTTACATCGATTCGGCCTTCGGAGTAACTCCTAAATACAAATTTTTAAAAACTTACCTATTTTACTTTCTCAGAATCGTTTAACTACAGCTTCCAAAAAAACACCCTGTATAGTGTTTCTGAAACACTATAATGGCGCCAAGATTTTTGTTTACGGCGCATTTTAGCGCATGATGAAAGGTACCATGTAGTAGAAAAAACATGTTAAAAAACGTAACTTTTGAAAACGTTAAGTTAGCCCCCCCCCCACTTTTAAAAAATTTTTTATGGCTTAACCGTAATGGCGCTAGCTTTAATTCAAGTAGCGCAATTGAGCTCATAACCAGATGTATCAAGTGGCACAAATACCGGTAGCAAAATGCGTTATGGGGGATTCCGTTCACTTGGCTCCCCCCCAAATATATTTAAGGATAACCAAAAAACAATAATGGCGCAAAGATATCTTTTTACGGCGCATTTCAGCGCATACCTGAGAGTACAATTTCGTATGAAAAGATGTTAAAAAAAGTAACTTTTAAAAACGTTAAGTTGGCCCTCCCACTTTTTGAAAATTTGGCACGGCTTAACCGTAATGGCGCTAGCTTTAAATCAAGTGGCGCAATTGAGCGCATAACCAAATGTATCAGGTGACCTAGTTACAAGGGACAAAATACGTACTGGGGGGGGCTACGTTCACTTGGCCCCCCCCCAAATGTTTTTTCGGATTTCTAAAAAACGATAATGGCGCAAGAGTTATTATCGGTGGCGCATATGAGTGCATAACGAGCGCATTCATTTCAAAATAATACGACTATCAAATCTCTCAGTGGGGGGGCCAAGTTAACGGACCCAATCCAGACCCCTCGGTAACTTTCTTCCACAAATCGTTCAGCGTTTAGGAACCTCACGATTATTTCTGGGAAAACATCGTCAGAACCTCTTCTCCTACGTAGAACTGCAGAGAACGTACCACCGGGGGGGGGGGGGATTTTGAACTTACAGTAGTTTCTTTCTTAATAAATCAATCTATTGCCTACATAAATTACATTTGATGCACACAGAAGCTAATCAGAAATCGAGTCATCGCTGTAATTGGAACTGCTCGATCTGATGTCGCCCTCGATGCCTCCCGCATACAAGGAGTTGTACGCTATTTTTAATATCAGATACGTCCAGAATATATGAAGTGCCAGCAGTGACATCAGGAGTCCGTTCAAGATGTGATACACCGGAAACATCGGCATGGTTGGGGGGTTCTCGATCAGCGTGTTTCGAAGTATCCAAAAGGGGAAGGCGCCGAGGCGCGTCGCGAACCACACGAGCGTGAACATTGCGAAAATCGCGTCGCACGTCTTCTGGTAGCCGGAGTACTTCGCCATCTTCGCGGCGTCCAGGAAGATGTCGGCGGAATCGTGGACGATTAGTACCAGACTTCCGATTCTGTGCATGTTAGTCATCCAGGAGAGCGACATCAGGGCGATAGTGGCGACGTGGTGGCCGAACATCTGCCAGAAGTCCTTGCGTTTCCTGTCGAAGAATTGGCTTAAGCAAAGCGACCAGTAGAAGGCCAGGGAGATGATGTATTGGCACCATATACCGATATCGATGCTCTGGTGAGGGTAGTTGAACCTGAAATGATCATAACAGCGTGGGAGCCAAAAATTCTTCAAAACTCACCAACACTGGCTAATGTCCCAAAACCACGGCTTATTCCACAAGACTACCAGACCTAAAAGGAAACTGCTGACGTAGTACAGGCATCGCCAGCTATTCTCGCAAAATTTCATCAAAGTCGACGGTTGATCTTGACTTCGACGTAAGCGTAACCATCGCTCCACCTTTCGATCGGGCCAGTCCAGCTGCTTGGCCAACCCCTGAATCTGAAGAGACAGTTTGATCCACTCCAACCCCAAATCTCCCACTCACTTGTTTATTGTTCACCCGCTTGTAACGCATGTACGCTCTCTCCAAGACGGCGTTTGGTGGAGCCGTCTTCGATCTGTACTCCTTCATTCCAATCGCCACTCCTAATGGAGCAAACCACTTGCTGGAAGATGCTCACTTAGATCTGCGAATTGTTAGAGAAAAGACTCACTGCTCGAGATAGTATCGCAATGCCAACATTAGAAAGGCGAGCGGAATTGGAATGTACAGATGCTTCGGGTTGGAATATCGGATTGTGTCACTGGAGCCCGGGGCTATGTCTTTCCATGTTGTGTTCGGAGGCAACCAAACGTGTTCATTCCAAAATCCATCCATTATACCGCGCAACACTTCACCGTGCATTTTTTCCAATTGGAAATCAGTAAAAACAATGGAGTAGATCCGTGAAAACGCAGTCACTCACTCTACAAGGGGTTTTTTCAATTAAGTAACCGCAGATTTGTCGTTTCCGATATTGCGTAAATTAATTAGCGATTATCGTTTCATGGTGATCCAATTTTCGTCTCGTCTACGCGTTTCTTTTCTTCCATCTCTGTCTTTGGTGTCGTTTCAGAAGTTTCGAAATCTTCGGAAATGGACATGTAGAGGGAAATATGTAGAAATTATGCTGCATTTTGATTGATCTCCTTCTGTTTCATTTTGACCACAGCATATGGCGCCAATAGATTTATGTGAACTACCATCATTTTTCGCCTCGCTGTCTTTTGGGATGCGGCAGATCAAATCAATTACATTCATAAGTCTAATCGGGGGTTTTCGTCTATTGTCGATCACCACCAGAACTTTTTGGCCAACTGGAACTTCCTCATTACCAACGTGAAGCACTCCATTCTTCAAAGTCCATTTCCAAGATCATCTCATCCGCGATAGCAGCCACGAGCACTTGATCCTTACGGGAATTGAATCCAATACTAACGTCCATCACAAAGAATAACACGAACACGAAACCCCCCAGCCGAGCCCCCAGCAATCCCAAGTAAGAAAGACCACCAGGTTAGGAAGATTCGACGTAATACTAGTTCACTGAATTTTTCTGCCTCGAAATGTGTTCCTGGGGAGTACTCCATACCTCCCAGACAATTTTCAAGGGCGGTCCGGTGAATACGAATATCTTATGGTGAATTCGGTGAATTTCTCTTTTATGATAATACCAGTTTAGGGTAATACCAGTGTTGAGGAAGTTTCACTGAATTTTTCGTTTGGGTTCGCTTATGATTCATAAGAAATGCAACTCCCTGAATATTGGTGTGTCGCTTTGTAATCGAAAGTAATTAATTGGGCGGTAAAGTACCTACCGTAATGCGCCAGAGTACTAGCTCTGCACGAGCGGATATCTCTCTTTCTCAGGACCAGTGGGCTAATAGATAATACCCTGGCTGTAACTTTTTTACTAGTAGCCCAATCTTGGAACTGTTTGAAATTATGGATTCTACAGGCCACATTCTATAAGAAAATTTTTTTTCCGGGTCGATCTGAGACAATTTTTTTTTCGGGGCTCAAAAAAAGGCAGTGTATAACCTTCCTTTTTTACCAAAAATCGACTACACCAAAATTTCTCGGGAAAACACTTTTTCTTATTAATTTGGGTGCGTAGAATCCAAATCAATTCGTACTTTTTCGATCAGACTTCTCAATCAAAAGTTATAGACTAGAAACCAATTTCGAAAAAAAATTCAAAGGGCTGTAACTTTTGAACTAGTAGCCCAATCTTGGAACTGTTTGAAATTATGGATTCTACAGGCCACATTCTATAAGAAAATTTTTTTTCCGGGTCGATCTGAGACAATTTTTTTTTCGGGGCTCAAAAAAAGGCAGTGTATAACCTTCCTTTTTTACCAAAAATCGACTACACCAAAATTTCTCGGGAAAACACTTTTTCTTATTAATTTGGTGCGTAGAATCCAAATCAATTCGTACTTTTTCGATCAGACTTCTCAATCAAAAGTTATAGACTAGAAACCAATTTCGAAAAAAAATTCAAAGGGCTGTAACTTTTGAACTAGTAGCCCAATCTTGGAACTGTTTGAAATTATGGATTCTACAGGCCACATTCTATAAGAAAATTTTTTTCCGGGTCGATCTGAGACAATTTTTTTTTCGGGGCTCAAAAAAAGGCAGTGTATAACCTTCCTTTTTTACCAAAAATTGACTGCACCAAAATTTCTCGGGAAAACACTTTTTCTTATTTATTTTGGTGCGTAGAATCCAAAACAATTCGTACTTTTTCGATCAGACTTCTCAATAAAAAGTTATAGACTAGAAACCAATTTCGAAAGAAAATCCAAAGGGCTGTAACTTTTGAACTAGTAGCCCAATCTTGGAACTGTTTGAAATTATGGATTCTACAGGCCACATTCTATCAGAAAACTTTTTTCCGGGTCGATCTGAGACAATTTTTTTTTCGGGGCTCAAAAAAAGGCAGTGTACCTTCGTTTTTTACCAAAAATCGACTGCACCAAACTTTCTCCGGAAAACACTTTTTCTTATTAATTTGGGTACGTAGAATCCAAATGAATTCGTACTTTTTCGATCAGACTTCACAATCAAAAGTTATAGACTAGAAACCAATTTCGAAAAAAATTCAAAGGGCTGTAGCTTTTGAAATAGTAGCCCAATCTTGGAACTGTTTGAAATTATGGATTCTACAGGCCACATTCTATAAGAAAAATTTTTTTCCGGGTCGATCTGAGACAATTTTTTTTTACTTTTTCGATCAGACTTCTCAATCAAAAGTTAGACTAGAAACCAATTTCGAAAAAAATTCAAAGGGCTGTAACTTTTGAACTAGTAGCCCAATCTTGGAACTGTTTGAAATTATGGATCTACAGGCCACATTCTATAAGAAATTTTTTTTCCCGGGTCGATATGAGACAATTTTTTTTTTCGGGGCTCAAAAAAAGGCAGTGTATAACCTTGCTTTTTTACCAAAAATCGACTACACCACAATTTCTCGGAAAATGTATGACAATTTGAATACGGAACAAAGTCAAAATGCCGCGGATAATTCATACAGTTTCGCTTCGCAATTTTGACGTAGAATGCCGCTCTCCCACCCAATTATTTACTCGCCGAATCCTACACCTGAAGTTCGCTCAGACCTGTATCTCTTAGACAGCAGAAAATGGCCTTCAGAAACTTATAAGGTAATAATTGGAAACGTGCTCTGGAAAACTCAATTGTTTGTCGGGAGTTGGAACGTTTTTTTTCTGGTTTTGACAGATTAATAAATTAGAAGATCCCCATTTATGTACGACGTCTGTATCTTAACTGCGAATGCGCCTTGCTTCGACTGATTCTTCTTTCTTGGCAGTTTTTCTTCCGCTTTCTCTACGCCTATTATACTTCTCGAGCTAATAACATCAGTTTACAGGTCCCAATGCAAAAACCTGGAAAGACGTCGTTGGCGATGCCGATCCGGGAGTCGACCTTCAGATCTACGAGCTGTAAGTGACCACTCTTTTGCTGCAATGGGTAAATTTTACTCGTACATTTACTTTCCGAAGGTTGTGGGCGTTTTTTCTGATTTCAAAAAACCAAATAAAGATTAAAATGCAATTTTGACTTGGTCGAGGAGAATTTTTGGAATTTTTCCTAATTTGAATGGTTTTGAAATTCCTAGAATTGTAGACTTTTTCTTGATTTTTGAATATATTGATGATTTGAAATATTTTTGAAAGTTTTAGTTTTTTCTTTTTTATGATTTTACTACATGCCTAACTTGAATTTTTGTGTGCACCTAACTGTAAAATTGCTTGCTTCTGGGGGAATTTTTCTGTATCCACGCTACTACCAGGTACTAAGTACTTCTGGGGGGGGGGGGGGGGGTCAGCAACGGAAAATTCAATGACCATTTGCTTGGTATTCTCGTGGTAATTTTTTGAAAACGGCAAGGAAACTACCGCATATACGATACCCCCCAGTAACTTTCTTCCACAAAATATTTAGTTTTCAGGAATTTCAAGATTATTTTTTTGCGAAAAATTCATCAGACCCTCTTCTCCTAAGAAAAGTACTGTAGGGAACGTACCACCGGGGGGTCTGGGGGTTATGGAATGCCCCCCCCCCCCCCCCCCCAGCAAATGAAGATGTAACAACCATTTCCGGAAAATGCAATTTTAGAAGTAAAGGACCCTTATCGCCTTTCCCTATAAACCTTTTCCATTTCCCATGGTACCCTCGTTGCAATTTTTTGAAAAGGGCAAGAGAACTGTCGTATATGCTGGGGAGTACTCCACACATCTCCCACAAAATGTTTAGTTTTCAGAAATTTCAAGATTATTATTGGGAAAATATCATAAGATCCTCTTCTCCTAAGAAGTACTGCAGAGAACGTACCACCGAGGGAACTGGGACTTCCCTTGGTACTCTCGTGGCGGTTTTTTAAAAATGGCAAGGGAACTACCGTATATACGATACATCCCAGGCCCCCCGGTAACTTTCTTCCACAAAACATTTACCTAGTTTTCCAGGAATTTCAAGATTATTTTTGCGAAAAAATCATCAGATCCTCTTCTCCTAAGAATTACTGTAGGGCACGTACTACCGGGGGGTCTGGGGGTTATGGAATGCCCCCCAGCAAATGAAGATTTAACGACCATTTCCAGAAAATACAATTTTTTGAAGTAAAGGACCCTTATCGCGCTTCCACATAACCTTTTTCCCTTTCCCATGATACTCTCATGGCGATGTTTTGAAAATGGCAAGGGAACCGTCGTGTATACTGGGGGGGTATCCCATACCTCCCCGACCCCCCGGTAACTTTCTCCCACAAAACTTGTAGTTGTCATGAATTTCAAGATTATTTTTGGGAAAAAATCATCAAATTCTCTTCTCCTAAGAAGTACTGCAGAGAACGTACCGCAGGGCGGTCTGGGGGTTATGGAATGCCCCCCAGCAAATGAAGATTTAACGACCATTTCCGGAAAATACAATTTTAGAAGTAAAGGGCCCTTATCGCCCTTCCCCATAACCTTTTTCCCTTTCCCATTGTACTCTTGTGGCGATTTTTTGAAAATGGCAAGGGAACCGTCGTGTATACTGGGGGGTTTCCCATACCTCCCCGACCCCCCGGCAACTTTCTCCCACAAAACGTATAATTGTCATGAACTTCAAGATTATTTTTGGGAAAAAATCATCAGATCCTCTTCTCCTAAGAAGTACTGTAGAAAACGTACCATCGGGGGGTCTGGGGGTTATGGAATGCGCATTTCCGGAAAATATAATTTTAAAAGTAAATTACCCTTATCCCCCTTTCTCATGGTACTCTCGTGGCTGTTTTTTTTTTAAAATGACAAGGGAATTAACGTATATGCTTGAGATCCTCTTTTCCTAAGAAGTTCCATCGGGGAGTTTGGTCTGGTGCGTATGGAATACCCCCCAGCAATGACAATTTCCCGAAAATAAAATTAGAAGTGAAGGATTCCTATTGCTCTTCCCCATAATACTCTTTCCTTTCCCATGGTACCCCCGTGGCGATTTTTTTAAAATGGCAAGGGAACTGTCGTATTCATTCTGGGGGTATTCCACAACCCCCGGTAATTTTTTCCACAAAATGTTCAACCTTCGGCAGTCTCAGGATAATTTTTGAGAAGAAACCTTCATATCTTCATAAAATCCTCTTCTTCTAAGATCTACTGCAGAGAACGTACCACCGGGGGGTCTGAGGGGTATGGAATATCTCCCAGCAAAGGAATATTCAATGACCGATGCTGAAAAATTGTAGATATTTAAATTAAAGAAGGACTCGATAACCCTCATCCCTTTCCCTTAGTGCTCCCGTGGTGGTTTTCTGAAAATGGCAGGATAACTGTCATATGCTGGGGGTATTCTAGACCACCCGCTATTTTTTTCCACAAAACGTTGAACGCGTCTCACAATAATTTTCGAGAAGAAATCTTCATATCCTCATGAAACCCTCTTGTCCTAACAACTAACGCAGAGAACGTACCATCAGGGGTTCTGGGGATTATGGAATACCCCCCGGTAAAGGGATACTTAATGACCGTTTCTGAAAAATTTTTAGGAATTATAGGAAATTATAGTAAAGAAGGATTCGATATCCCCTCTCCATAACCCTGATTCGTTTCGCATAGTACTCTTGTGGTGGTTTTCTGAAAATGGCAGGATATAGCCTTAGGTCTTTAAATCTCTCAAATTGCAGTGTAACAGTTAAATGGCTTTCGATCCAAAGCACAGTTTAAAGTAGTGAATGTATAAAGATTGCACATTTTCAAGGCTCTAAGGTTTCCACTTTTTTAGGTGTCCAAAACTTCAACGTGATAGGATTTCAAAGAGGCTATTAATAATTCTTCCAGGATTCAAGACTAAACCGCTCTTCATGGATTTAAGAGTCTAAAGATGCTTTAAAAGGCTTTCCAACTTTTTATAAATATTCAATTCTCTTTCAAATTTCAATTCAAAGAGAACCAGAGTTCCAATTCAGTTACCGTCATGGATGTTAACCTTTTACATTTGCGTTATCTGGAAAAATAACTTAACGTAGCATCATTTGGTTTATAAATAACCATAATCTTATCGTGCTAAAAAATGTAAATAATTCCTGACGTACACCGAGTGAACGAGAAAGCGTTTTTCCGTTTCGAATATTTCGGGCTGTAAGTGTACAATTTTGTTTCCAAGATTTCAATGCAGGATGCATATCCGTTTCTTCACATTAGGGAATGTTTCGACCATCCTTCGTGGTTTCGTGTGCCTTTTGATCGCTCAATGTCTCTTTTTAACAACGACAAAAATCTAAATTCATCGAATTACGAATCATCCTGTTAAGTGCAATTATAGCAATCGATTTATCCTTGAAATTATATCAAATTATCTGAGATCATTTTGACAGCGATTATCATTAAATCAAGGTACTAATCGCAATTAATTTTCAGACATGGACGGCGCTTTTAATTACCGATTTTGGAATGCGATCGCCTGCGAGGCCGTTCATTCCGGCGATAAACTGAAGCAGGGAATAAAGGAGTGCATCGTGCGGGACAAGGTGAAGCTCGAGGATTTTAAGGGAATCGACATCGAGAAGAGTAACATCAATTACTTGACGTCGGAGCTCTTTGACGAAATGAGTCACCTGCAGAACATCAAGCTGATCTTCAACACGATCACCGATATGCCTTCCGGCGTTTTTCGGAATTTGGCGAGTCTGAACGAGATAAACATCGGCTTCAATACGATTGAGAGTATGGCGAACGATGCGTTCTCTGGTCCGGAAAAGGTGAAGAATTTATTCTTTTACGGCAATAAAATTGAGAACATTCCCGAAGGGGTGTTCGATGCGCTGACCGAGCTCGAAACTGCCAAGCTGCACAACAACAACCTGCGGGTGATCACCCCTGAGACTTTTAAGAACAACAATTTTATCACGTTGTTGTGGCTGTCCGGGAATAATATTCGGCATTTGTCGGCGAATGTCTTCGCGAATCTCACCCTGTTGACATCTCTGATGCTGGACGGAAATGAGATGGAGGAACTGGATGATGGTTGCTTCGTCGGTTTGGGGAGTTTGAAATCGTTGCGGCTCGATCAGAATAAGCTCAGAACGTTTCCCGACGAGGTTTTTGCCCCACTTATTTCATTGGACAGTTTGGATCTCACATCGAACGACATCGAGGAGTTGCCAATTTCGCTTTTCGCGCGGTTAGCGAATTTGACCGCCCTAAACTTGTCCAAGAACAAGCTGCGCGATTTACCGGTGGAAATTTTTTCGGCTGCAACCCTGCTGAGCAATCTACAGTTGCAGAACAATCATCTCGCGAGTTTACCTGGTGGCATCTTCAACAGCTTGAGTGGGTTGAAGAAGTTGAATTTGTCTCACAATGAAATAACTGAGCTGTCTCCGGGGATATTTGAAGGTAATGTTGAGCTGACTCACTTGAATCTCAGCTCTAATAAGCTGGAAGCGTTAATTTCGGGCACTTTTGATGGTCTGAGCCAGCTCTTGGAGTTGAATTTGGATAAGAATTTGATTGTATCGGTCGACTGTGACGTCTTCAAGGATTTAGAGGCTCTCACCTGCCTGTATTTGAAGAGTAACCAAATCGAAAGCCTTGATGAGTCAGTGTTCCGTGGCCTACGGAAGTTGGAGAAGCTGCACTTGAAGAATAACAAAATTGCGGATCTTCCCGTGGGAATTCTCTCCGATCTCTCTCAACTGACCGAGCTGGAGCTGTACGAAAACGCGATCGGCGGGCTGGAGCAAGGCGTCTTCGACTCGATCTCAAAGCTCACCACTCTTCTTCTGTACGATAACCAAATTGAGCACATCGCCCCGGGCACCTTCCGAAACTTGGAGATTATCAACTCGCTGTTCTTGGGGCGAAACAAGCTGAGCAAACTGGACGCGGGCACCTTCGCCGGAATGCCCGAACTGAACTACCTCACGGTCGAAAACAACGAGATCGCCGAGCTGGAGGTCGGCTGCTTTGACGGCCTGCCGAGCTTAAAGACGTTGACGCTCTCGCAAAATCCGATCGAAAGTCTACAGCCGAACGTGTTCGCCGAGCTCTCCCACTTGGGGTATCTCTACTTGGAGAACACAAATTTAAGTGTAGTGCACTCGGGAATGTTTCACGGCCTGCTGAATTTGCACCAGCTGCACCTGTCGAAGAACAAAATCGCGACCATCGAATCGGGCGCGTTCGAGGGCCTCCCGAACTTGGAGTTCCTCTCGCTGTTCACAAACGATCTTACCGAAATATCCGAGGAGACCTTTAACGGCCTGAGCGGGCTGGACTATCTCGAGCTGGGCACCAACCGCATCAAAACCATTTCACCAGACGCCTTCATCTCGACCCCCAAGCTCAAGTTCCTCCGGCTGGGCAACAACGAAGTTTCCCTCGAGAGCGAAACGTTCGCGCATTGCCCGAAGCTCGTGCAGCTTGATCTGACCGCGAATAACATTGAAACCCTACCGGATGATATCTTCCTCCCTCTCCACTCGCTGAACACGCTCTACTTCGGCCACAACAAATTGGAAACCCTCAACTCCGGTACCATAACTAATTCCCTCAAATTGCAATACCTATACTTGGACAATAACCAAATAACCACCGTGAAAGCGGGCGCCTTCGACGACCTGCAGCTGCTGTGGGAGCTCCACTTGGAGGACAACAAAATCGAAACGATCGAACCGGGCAGCTTCTCCCCCCTACAGCACATGTACATACTTCGCCTTGGGAACAACAACCTATCGCAGCTAAACCTGGACGCGTTCGACGATCTGAAAGCTTTAAAAACAGTAACGATCGACGGAAATCCGTTGGACGAGGAAGTTCTCGCCCACTTCAAGACTAAATATCCCGAACCCGTTCCTAAAGTTGTTACCTGTTATTGTTAGGCTTTAGTGAGGACCAATCGCTTTAGGTACCACGCGTTAACTTGTGATATAAACGGCAATTATTAAACGCACTGTCTATTTCTATATTTTTTATTTATGTTGTTAATAAAGCTTTGTCACTAAATTTCGTCTCCATCTCTTATTCGTACTACCCACTGACAATATCTCCGAATGCCGTCAGCAGCAGTGGGATCATGGCGCTTTCGGCCTGGAAGGTCTCTGCAATCTTCGTAATTCACCCAGCCTCACGATCTAGGTGGATTTGGTGAGAAATCTGCTGTTCCCACTCACGGTCTTTTTCCCCGGACGTTGGGGATCACTTGTCCCCGTGACGATGTTTGTTGGTTTCGGTGCAGCCAAGAACGTTTGGGGGTGGGAATAACACGCTGCTATGTTAGAAAAGAAGTGGATGTGAATAAGTGCGGCAAATGCTGGGGCATACACGAGAAAGATCTGGAGTGTAAACCGCACGACAATAAAAATAAGTGTTTGAACTGCGGTGAGGAGGGCTGTGTGACCAGATAGAGAAGGAGCCATGGGGCAAAGCATACCTATACAGGGTGTCAATTTTAAAACTTGCAGTCGGCAGTTTGCAAACTAAAGAAGATATTGAAAATCGCGAAAAACCGTTTCGGGGGTATCGAGGGGGAACCAAAATGACTAAATGGCAACCACATACTTGTGACACATCGTTGGAAAGCTACTGAAAAATGCTTTCCAGTGGCATCCATGAAGTCAATATTGATTAGAGACAATTTAACAAAAATTTAATAATTAACAAAAAAAAAAAATTAAGCCATGGCTATGTGCAAGATTTGGTCACTCATAACGTCATTCTGGTTCCCCCTCGCTATCCCCGAAACGGTTTTTCGCGATTTTCAGTATCTTCTTTAGTTTCGAATTTTGGCCGACTGTAAGTTTTAAAATTGACACCCCGTATGATAGTAGTCGAGAAGATTCGCGTGAGGGAGCGAGCGATCGGGCACTGTTTCTTCTGAGAGATGGCGGTAAACGATCAAGACAACCAAAGGAAGATCGAAGAAAGGGAGATCACGGAGGCAGTCAAACAAATACCCAAGAAGAAACTTCCAGGGTCGGACGGACTCCCTCCGGAATTCGTGGCACTGGTGGCAAAGAGAGCCCCCGAGATGTTTTCTGCCCCCTTCGAGGCAGTTATGAGGGAAGGGAAATACCCACCAACGTGGAAAAGTGCCGAGGTGGTGTTGGTCCCTAAAAAGGACGAGGGGAAATTTAGGCCGATCGCCCTGCTAGGCCATCTTGGCAAGCTGTTCGAGAGGGTAGCTGCCGCGCGATTGCAGTCTAGATGGAAGGCCTCCCCAAATCAGTACGGTTTCGTGAAAGGAAGGGGGACGAAAGAAGCACTCCAAAATCTGGTAGAGACAGCTAGGAGGGCTAAGGCACGTACATACGTGGCGGACCAGGGAGGTGGTTATAATGGCATCTCCAAAACACGTACACGCACAGGCTGCCTACGGATGTGATAATAGACGGGGGACGGGGTGGAAAATTAATTTAAGACTACCATCCGGAAATAGTTATAAAATCTGTAAATGAAGGCGCCCCTCAGGGATCAGTATTAGGGCCACTGCTATGGAATATGGCGTACGATAAAGCAATAGGCATGACGGTGCCGAGGGGAGTGGAGTTTTCCAGATAAACCTCACAGTGATAGTTATGGTTAGGGAACTGAAGGTGGTGAAACGTCGCATGGAGCCCACCATAGAAGCCATGGACAGGTGGATGGAAGAGAAGAGGTTAAAACTGGTGGGGGAAAAATCCAAGGTTGCGGCCATAGTGGGCATGCGAAAACTTCCTCAGATAGTGGTGAAGATTGGGGGGCTGACGTTCAGGCTGAGTAACTAGGGATCACGATAGATAGAAGATTGAAGTTCGTCAACCACGTGAAAATCCGGGCCAAAAAGGCCAAGGTCATGGCAAAAAAGCTGCAGGAACATAAGGGGCCCCAGCGTAATCAGTACCGCGGTAAACAACGCTATGTTATATGGAGTTGAAGTTTGGGGGACGGCAGTTAAAATGAGAAACGTCAGGGAAATTCTGGAGCGGGTGCAGAGAAGTATGGCCCTGAAAATAGACTCGGCTTATAGAACGATAGATCTTTGTGTAGTGGTCGGGGTAATACCACTGGCAATACAAGCGGAACCAGAGCAGAAGGAAACTAGGAAAGACTCCTTGGCTCAATCGCAAGATGAACGAGGTGGTAGGAAGTCCTGGACAAGTAGATTGATTCCCGACGTCCAGAAATGGAATCAGAGAAAGCACGGAGAGGTACACTACCATCTAAACACAGATCTTAACAGCACACGGGGAGAACGCCTAGAGTACCTACACAGATTCAAAAGGCGACAGGACGACACCTGGGCGGACAGCGGGCATAGAGACACTCCGGGCCACGCAGTCTTTTAGTGTGAGAGGTGGGAAAGATGGACGCTGAGAATGGAGTTGGCGGACTCGATAGAAGAGGATAGTATAATCGACAGCATGATAGAGCTGGAGGATGATCGACGAGTTCATCACGCCTATAACACGAACGAGAGAGAGGGAGGCCAGGCGAGCACGACAAGCGGAAGTATACCAAAGGTGATACCCACGACGTTAGAATTTATTAAGGGTGAAGTGGTTTAGTGGGAGCAGGGCCCACACTACCTCCGCCATAGAAACAGGCGGAGGCGTGCATAGGCATTCCACCATCCCCATGATTATATTAAAAGAAAAGGAGCGTTTGGGAGTGGACAGGATCCTTGCCGTTCTTTTTGGCGAGCTCTGTTTGGTAAGCGGTAGTTGGCAGTGTTCTCCGGAGCAGTTCGGGCAGGTAGGTTTTACTTCCGTCTTCTTCGTGCAGTCGGCGGCACGGTGTGGGCGTGCGCCCATCTCGGGACATACCCGCAGTTGAGTCTGGAGTGGCCAACGCTCTTAAGCTTCAAGGCTTTCCAAGCCTTCAAGGAATTCCAGGGCCCCAATCGCTTAAGGTTCCCAAGAACCTAATTCCAATTTTTAAGGACTCGGGAGTTCAGTTCCTTTCAGAGGCCTTTACAACGCCAACAACAAGGCTTAAGTGTTTGAGGTCCTTAATTTTTCTACATTGTCTTAGAATTGGCGTGTTTTGCTGTTAGACAATAAATTCATTATTATTAAGATTCCATAAAGACACGCCCATGGAGGCACTTTTGGGACTAGAGCTTTTACACTCAGTTGTGGAGGCCGAGGCTCGGAAGGTTTCCACCCGACTAAAAGGTTGGGACCCCGTGTGGTTAGCCACCCATCGGGCGCGTCCCCGGGTGGCGGATAGGGGAAAGCCCATACAGACACTTGAATGATCGTACGTGACTCGTGCTTCGGTGTGGGTAGTGACGATTATAAGTGGCTCGTCGGGGCTAAAACCGAGACTGGTATCGTCGCCGCGGACCAACCTCCCAAGTCAAGGTGTTAGCGACCGTGCCGAGGACTGCGTGGCACTGGGGTGCAGTGTCGATAGCGGTGCCCCTCGGATACCGGGCGACCTCCGAGTGGTGGCTCTTTTCTTTCGGGAAGGGGCTGGCAGCCAAGCCCTGGGCAAGCGGCTCTGCCCAGGTGAGACCGCATTTCCGCACTACTCGTGGGAATTGTATGGAATCTTCTAACAAAACCTTTCTGGGCTCCTCGTCAGAGGGGACCAACAAGCCGGGCCCTCAAAAGGGGTCCGGTAACGGGGCAGGCTCCTCGAAAGAGGGGACGGCTCCAACGCAGGGCCTTACCCAAGGACCTGGTGGTGGGTCAGCTCCTATTCGCAAGAAGAATAGGACTGGCGCACAGAAGGCGATGGCCAGGAAGCGCCGGCTCGAGGGTAAAACCTCGGGTCAAGCGGGCCCTGCGCCAAAGCCTAAGGCTGCGTCTGGGTCGTTGGCTCAGGGGGGCAACCCGACGTCAGGGACTAAGCGTCTCAGATCAGAGGGAAGCACTCCAGGGTCTGGCTCAAGGCAGCCTGAGAAGAAGCCTAGAGGTTCTGATGCACCCAAGGGTGCACCACGAACTTATGGGCAAGTCGCTGCGGCAGGGCTTAAGGTGGCCGTCGTTCCGGTTTCATACCCGGAGGTGGACATCTCTGAGGCTCAGTCGAGGTGCATTATGGCTGCATTGAATGCAGTCGTAGACCAGATGGAGGGAGGGCCCTTTCCTCGGCTGGCAGGGTTCCGCTGGAATCCGCAGGGTGCCATCGTGGCCGAATGCGAGGACCAGTGGACCTTGGACTGGTTGGAGAGGACCGTCCCTCTTATCCGGCCCTGGGATGGCGCGTCGCTGAAAGTTCAGAGGCACGTCCCGAGGGTAACCAAGGTGATGGCTGTGTTGTACGGGCTCCCGGATGACACGGACACCATTTTGAAGCGCCTCCAGAGGCAAAATGGTTTCAGGACGAGTCTATGGAGGACGTTCTTTCGCAGGGAGGAGCCTGGTAGGATTCTCCTCGCATTTGGTGTCGATGAGACGTCCTATCAGGCACTCCAGCGACAGAACTTCCAGGCGCACGCGGGGGTTTCGCGCGTCACTCCGGCTACGCAAGGTAAGCGAGAGAGCTCCACCGAAGCAGCGGGACCTAGTTCCGTTGCGAGGGAGGGGACCCAACCTCGCAGTGTTGATCTCGAAGAGGCGGCGGGATTGCTCCCGGCACCCGAAGAGATCGAGAAAGATGTCAGCGAGCTTTTGGCTCGTGTGGCGGTTCTTGGCTCCGACCAGGGGTCGGAACCGTCGGCATCGCTAACGGAGGAGGGAACCTAGTACATCAGTGATGGACAAAGTAACCTTCTTACAGAGCAATTTGCAGCACAGTAAGGGGGCGACCTGTCTAATAGGTCGTCAACTTGCTGTAAAGCAGACAGGCGTATGCCTCATACAAGAACCTTGGGTTTACAAGGGACGAGTAAGAGGTCTGGGCCAGGTGGAGGACTCTCTTTATTATAAGAGGGACAGCCAACTGAACCCGAGGACTTGCATTTATGTCGATAGACGAATCGAGTCTTATCTAATGGCTGATTTTTGTTTCAGGGATCTCGTAGCTCTACGACTTCAGCTGAAAGATGACAGAGGACGGGGCAGGCACTTGGTGGTCTGCTCCGCCTATCTCCCGTACGACTCAGAAGGGGCTCCACCAACCAAGGAGCTGGCTGAGTTGATAGAGTACTGTCGAAGTAATGGGCTCCCTCTTGTGGTTGGCTGTGATGCAAACGCACACCATGTTGTGTGGGGCAGCACGGACACGAACTCGAGGAGCGACCACCTTCTGGAGTACTTGCAAACAACTGATTTGAATGTTTTAAATCAGGGAGCAGCCCCTACCTTCGTCACAGCCCGGAGGCAGGAGGTCATTGATCTGACGCTGGGCTCCTTTTCAATAGCTCACATGATCACGAATTGGAGAGTGTCTGATGAGCCGTCGCTTTCGGACCACAGGCACATTCTTTTCCAACTGAACCTGGCATTGCACTGCGGGCTCTGTAGGTTTCGGAATCCCCGACTGACTGACTGGGACTGCTATGTGGCAAAACTGTCGGACCGGTTGGATAGACCACCTCTGCTCTGTCGGAAAGCAGGGCAGGTGGAAGAGGCGGCCGCATTAGTAAGCGACGCCATAACAGCGTCCTATGAGGACAGCTGTAAACTGCGTACGTTTCGAGGGAAGAAGAGAACACCTTGGTGGAACTCAGACCTTGAAAAGGCTCGTAAGGAGGTTCGCAGGCTCTTTAATAGGGCCATGCGAACTAAGTTACCTGCGGACTGGGAAGATCTTAAGATCTCCCAGCGCAGGTATAAGGACCATATTCGGAGGTCGAAACGAGGATCTTGGAGGACTTTCTGTGGTAACATGGAAGGTCTTCCTGAAGTTCAAAAACTTCGTAAAATCCTTTTGAAGGACCCGGGGCAAAAGGTGGGGACACTGAGGCTTCCATGCGGTAGATATACGTCTACCGCGGGTGAGGCTCTCACATGTCTCCTGGAAACACACTTTCCAGGCTCTGGGGACTACTTAACTTCGGACCCACCAAAGGGAGCTACTCGGGTCGGTGTAAGGCCGATCAACTGGAAAGTAGCTTCCCGGGTGGTTACCGAGGGATCTCTCAGATGGGCGGTCAGCACGTTCAGCCCATTTAAGAGTGCAGGACCGGATGGGATATTCCCGGCCCTTCTACAGAAGCGCCTGGAGCCGCTGCTCTTACACTTGTTGCATCTCTTCAGAGCCTCTCTGGCTTTAGGGTATATCCCCGAAAGCTGGAGGAAGGTAAGAGTTGTGTACCTACCTAAGCCGGGTCGTGCTAAATATGACGTGGCGAAGGACTATAGGCCCATCAGCCTATCATCGTTTCTTCTAAAAACGGTGGAGAAGCTGGTGGATGCATACATAAGGAATGGCGTACTGGTTAGTAGACCACTACATCCGTTCCAACATGCTTACAGGGCTGGTATGTCCACGGAGACGGCTCTACACAGCCTGGTGTGCAGGCTGGAAAAGGGAATGTCTTCCGGGGGGATAGCTCTGGGAGCGTTTTTAGATATCGAGGGTGCGTTTAACAACACCACGTTCGATTCGATTAGTGAGGCTGCTGAGAGCTTTGGTATTGATGGGTCGATCGTAAGATGGATCCGAGCCATGCTCGAAAGCAGAGTCATTATATCCTCAATTGGGATGACGGAGATGAGCTCATCGGTTACTAGAGGATGTCCGCAGGGTGGGGTGTTGTCTCCACTTCTGTGGTGCCTGGTACTAGACGGGCTCCTCCGCACCTTGAACGAGGGGGGAGCGTATACACAGGGATACGCGGACGATCTCGCGATCGTCATAACTGGGAAGTTTCCAAACACCGTGAAAGAGCTCATGCAGGGGGCTCTCGAACAGGTGGATAGGTGGTGCAGTAGCCATGGCCTTTCGGTTAACCCGGAAAAGACCGAGGTTGTTTCATTCACGAATAGAAGGAGAGCGGATCTTGCTGGACTCGCTCTTCGAGGACGTCAACTGGGTCTGACCAGGTCAGTGAAATACCTGGGAGTCATCATTGACTCTCGCCTGACCTGGAAAGGGCACATTGAGCGCGTAAGCAAAAAGGCCACTGCATGTCTATGGGCATGTAGAAGGGCTTTTGGTTGTACATGGGGCTTGAACCCTCGACTGGTATACTGGCTTTACACTGCAGTGATAAGGCCAATAATACTGTATGGTGCACTTGTATGGTGGCCTGCCATGCGCAGGGTAACCTACAGGAAGCAGCTAGGAAAGGTCCAGCGACTCGCCTGTCTGGGAGTCACTGGAGCCCTAAAAACCACGCCAACCTTGGCCATGGAGGCACTTCTGGGCCTAGAGCCTTTACACTTAGCTGTGGAGGCAGAGGCTCGGAAAGCTTCCATACGGCTAAACGATTGGGATGAATGGAAGGATCGAGGCAGCCTTGGGCACGGGCGGATCTGGGAGGAAACCCTCAGGACCGATCCCCTCCTCGCAAGGAGGGACGTGATCCGGGCTATCTTGCTAAGACCAAAGCGTTATAAAGTCATTCTCCCGGATAGGGAGCAGTGGCTGAACTCGGATTGCCCGTTCCTCAAACCTGAGGGGCTCGTGTGGTTTACAGACGGGTCCCAAACAGAAAGGGGAACGGGCATGGGTATATATGGTGATCGACCGAGAGCCAGCGTCAGCGTCTCCCTTGGTCAGCATAGCACCGTGTTTCAGGCAGAGATGTTAGCCATCATGACCTGTGCACAGGAAAACCTCCGTAGAGGTTACCGTAACAAGCATATATACATATGCAGTGATAGTCAGGCGGCGTTGAGGGCCCTGTCGGTAGACAGGTTCCGATCAGCTACGGCGCTTGATTGCAGGCGAACCCTAGATAGATTAGGTGAGTCTAATAGGGTAAGCTTGATTTGGGTGCCAGCGCACTGCGGAATAGGGGGCAACGAAAGGGCGGACGAGTTGGCTCGCGAAGGCAGTGGTGGAGTCTTCGTCGGGCCCGAGCCTACCCTAGGGATTGCTCCCTCCGTTGTTAGGGCCGGGATTAAAGATTGGTTGACCAGTCAATTCCAGGCTCAGTGGCAACAAGTAACCGGACTCCGGCAGTCCAAGGCCTTTCTAACAGGGCCCCTTGGCAAATCGGAGGTCTTCTAAGCTTCTAAAACTGAATAGAAGCCAGATTAGGAAGATCACCGGTGTCCTTACGGGACACTGGATGGTCAACTATCACCTGCATAACATTGGGCTCGCGGAGGAGTCCACGTGCAGGTTCTGTGGCGAGGCAGATGAAACTACCGAGCATGTGGTCTGTCACTGTGACGCTTTGATCAGGGACAGATATCAACTCCTTGGAGACAGATACCTGGAACCGAGGAGGGTGAAGAAACTTAGGCTAAACAGGGTCCTATCCTTCATTGAGAGGAACGGGCTCTGAACTCAGTTGCGAAGAAAGGGGGTAGGCACAATGTGCCTAAGTGCTGCCCGGTCGGGCTCCCCTGAGAATAGAATAGAATAGAAAAGGTTGGGACGAGGGGAAGATCGAGGTTGTCTTTGGCATGGGTGGTTCTGGGAGGAAACTCTCATATCTGATGCCCTCATCATAAGACAAAAGAGCTATAAAGTCACTCGTTGCGAAAGAAATGGGGTAGGTACGATTGGCCTTTGGCGTGCCCCAGATTCAGATTGCATCTTCCTTTAATATATTCCTTCACTTCTTCTGACATTCAGTACGAATCGATTGCTACCGAGATTCGAAAGTGGCGCGAAACGTCCGATGTGCCGACATGAAAGTTAGGTGGCTCTGCCTGTGTTCGCTTAAAGCTTCCAGTTCGGTTACAGCCTCCAACCGTTTTTTTGCTCTGCCCGGTCTCCCGTGCCGGTTTGGAAAATATAGAAAACTTCAGAGATGGAAAGGGGCAGGAATGTTCGAAATGGGAATTGGAAATTACTTACGTCAAGAACGCAACTCCGATACCAGAATAATAGCTCTCCCCTTAATGGGGTGATAATATTCAGCTATATTCTGCCAAAAAATCTGATGAACTAGAAGAAGTTAAAGAGGCAAAATCTGAATTGATGAATCAATAGGATCCAAATTATCGGAGGAAACCAAACCTGAGTTGGTTACTTAATGCGCGTGTAGGTTTTCCCCCACTCACCATGCAGAGACGCTCTTGGTATGGTACCACTTCCCTTCAACGGTTCCACAACGCCGCCTTTACCACTTACAGAGACTATTTTATACACTACAAGCATTATTTCTGGTGGGTCAAACCATGTCTCAACGCACTCTTAGAGTAAAGAGAACGATTTATGTTGTAGAAAAAAGTGCAATCGGGGATTGGTTGTAGGTAATCTCTGAGCGCTATTTCAAACACGAGAGTTAAACTTGGTTCAAAAAGTTTTATTTAAACTTGTCAAATGGCTTCAAATATGCACACAATTTAATTAATTCTATCAGTTTGACAATAAACTGACCTGTTTTTATACAGCGTGTCCGTTACAGTTATCATATGTACAATCGTAACAGTAGGTAATATTGGATAAACCCGCGCAGGCCGACTCATTAGACCTCTTAGCGGAGCATTTTCTTACATATTTTGTCGTACCGTTGACTACGGAAGAAGTAAATTAATAGGAATTGCAATTATTAACCTTTTAGTTTACCATTTTGCTTATATATAAGGCATATTCCATTCAAAGTTTCTGGTATCCGTTCGCATTGTACACTACTTACTCCCGATCCACTTTGGCAGTTAGTGTGGCCTTTTGAGCTGTCGCAATCGTAACATCTTAGTCCTGAAACTTGAGAGCGTTTTGAGTCATCTGAAAAAGATGTAAGAAAGTATTCACCTTCCACAACGGCATAAACCAAAAAGAGAGTAGCCAATAGTGCTTTGGTATACATGGTGAAAATACAACTTGGTGCCTACTCATTTGGCACACATATTTATACCCCTCAAAAAGGAAACGGGGCTAGATTAGATTAATTGGAATTGATAATTCAAAGTGCAAGTGGCGAAACAGTAGCGTTATCAAAGGTACTCTTCTTTAGAGGCTTGTTTACTGCCGAATTTAGAAAATTTATTACTTGAGTAACATGTTTTGTGTTGATTGATATTTCTCTGCCGAAGTTTTATAAATCCTTAAGATCTGTGATCCTGCACATCAGAAACAAATAGAGTCAGGCTGCTTTATTATGGGGATTGCGTGTTTTCCTTTGGTTAAATATACCGTGAAGACATATCGGGACGGTTTGGAATTGTACCTATGACTCAAGGCTAGGACCGTGTCCAGTGTATGGTTTCAGGTTCAGCAGCAAAATGTCTGAAGAAAACTGGCCAAGGCTAGTCCCATGAACTCTCTTAGTTCCTGCAGATTGGTTGGTGTCTAATGGCTTTTATTTTCAACTTATCTGCTTCGTACCTTCCCGGATTGCTCTTATAAGGTTTTCAGACCTTCAGGGCCTTCACGATACAACCGTATAACCTTTCAGTGTTCCAAGATCCCCAACACCTCTAGAACCTTCAAGACCAGAAGCATCAATTGTTTAAGACTATTAAGAAAACTGTACCTGACTTCAAGATTGAGGCACTTTATTATGAAACCTCGTAAGATTCCCAAATCTGTTCAAAATTGCTAAGATCTTTTTTTTGTTTGCTTTTATTAAAAGGACTTGCCATAGAAATTTCAATTGCTCCATAAATAAGAAAGTAGCGTTTTGCGCATGCGCAGTACGATTTTTGAAAAGTACATTTTATTTGCCAAAATATGACGAAAGCGTATTCTGAAGGCAATGGGACGGAGGGGTGGGGTGGGGGTAACATAAAACCCTATTGTAGTTACCATCCAATCTCACGCTTTTTATAGAACCATTGACACATTGCTCGGCTTCGCCTCGCACATTGAAACACAAAAGAAGGTATCGCTCCGCTTCGGCGCCGCCTCGCCTCGCGCATGTAACGAAATCGCCATCTGTTCTAGAATGTGGACGAGCAATATGGCAGACCAATGTCAAAAACCGCATCGTTCTAACCCTCGACGTTCCCGAATAAACGCCAAAATATGAAAAAAGTGCCTTCTGTATGAAATTAGGAGGGGGGGGGGATAAGTTAACGTAAAACCCTAATGTAGATGCTACCCAGATTGTATAGAATGCTTGTATAGAATGGTTGACACGTTGCTCGGCTTTGCCTCGCACGTTGAGACACAAAAGAAAAGACATAGCTCGGCTTCGGCGGCTGCGCCGCCTCAGCTCACGCGTTCACTCGAATTGACTTCGATTCTAGAACGCGGCCGATCGATATAGGGGAGCAACGTACAAAACCGCATCGTTCTAGCCTTCGACGTTTTCGAATAAACGCCAAACATGTAAAAAAGTGCCGTTTATGGGAGGGAGGGGGTAGGGATAGGGAGGGATGTCGGTTGCGAATCGCATCGTTCTGACCCCGGTAGTTTTCCGACTAAACGTCAAAACGACGAAAAAGTATCGTTTAATGGTCCATAGGGGGGGTTAATGGAGGGGTGATAGAGTGCGAAAAGGACGTCGGAGGAAAGACGGCGACTTCCTAAAAACTTACCCTCCCCGATGCGACTCGACTGCCGTAAATATTTTTTTTTAATATTATTGTATTTAAGCGAAAATATTTATAACCGTTCCGGTCCTGTTTCGGTTTAAAAAAAATAACGGTTCGGTTCTGCGAATTCTTTTCGGTTCATAACGCTTCTTTTCGGTTCTAGTCTTTTAGATAGTATGGTCTTTTGGTAAGCCTGGCATACATTCAGAATCCTCCGCACTCCATTCTGCAGATTTTGCCTTTGAGAGTACTTTCCTCCGAAAAACCGTTTTCGAGATATTCGCTCTTAAAGTTTTGACATCGCCAATGGATATATTTCTTCCAGACGTCTCAATCGCCCTTTGTGAGTACTCTCTTTCGGCAATCCGTTCTGGAGATATAAGGGAATATATCCGATCACGATAATGGGCCGAGGAGGAGACCTATGGGTGTTAGAAAGAAATTCGTTTCGTTGAGACCTTTCATTAGAGTACCCCACTCCCCCCCCCCCCCACCTCCGGCCCCGTCACCCACTGATCTCGAAAAAGAGTCGCCCTGGAAAGGACTATTCCCCTAGAAGTAGTTCAAAATGGCAGAAGTGAGTCCAGACCGACGGACGGACAAAACGTAAACAATAGCCTTAAAAAAATGCTCTAAAAAATTATGTATAGAGCACTGTTTTTTATTTTCATTTTCTAAAATTTCGCCCCTCCTTTTATTCTTTACGCCACCGAAAAAGGGGTTCCGGTTCTCAATAAGATGCCATTTCTGAAGGAATAACGTTTTCGGTTCGGTTATCGGTCCGGAAAAAATATCGGTTTCGGTTCTTTTTCGGTCGGGTAAGTAATAGGCCTCTGTTTATCCGGCGTTGGTAGAATCATACTCCAGCAGTGCCTCAATTTCGGCAAGCTCATGACAGTTCGTAATCGGCCCGGGGGAATTGCTGACGCAACCTCTCACTAAGGGTAACATGGGGCTTTTTTCAGTCAACAAATCTGATGAACCCTCTGGTGATGGGTCGACAAAGTCCTCTGAATTTACGACGCACCCTAAAGGAGAGATGTTTATGTCGTGGGAAAAAGCGTGACTCCTGTGATCGAAGAGTTGCCCCAATTAATCAGACAAGTTGAATCAAAAACGTTTATTTAAATGTTACAATTTCTTAAAATATGCACATGCATTCTATCAATTCGATAACTGACCGTCTTTAAAGAGGAGTTCCGTTACAATTACTTTTGTCACAATCGCTACAACTGGGAAGTTTTCGTCCCTGATCTCTCATGCGCTGGCAGGGCGACACATTGTTCTTCCTACCGGAGCATTCTCTTACGTATTTTGTCGACCCGTCCACTACGGAAGAAGTAGATCAGTAGGAATTGCAATCTTATTAATCTTTCATTACCAGTTTCCGAATATTGAAGGCACGCTTTCGAAATAACGGGAGGTGCCATTCCACATTCTACACTACTTACTCCCGATCCACTTTGGCAGTTAGTGTGGCCTTTTGTGCTGTCGCATGTGTAACATTTCAGTGCTGAAATTGTAGAGCGTTTTGAGTCATCCTAAAAAGGTCGGTACTCACCTGCGTTCACAGCATGCACCAAAAAGAGAGTAGCCAATAGTGTTTTGATATACATGGTGCAAATACAACTTGGTAGCTACTCATTTGACACACTTATATTACCTCCAAAAAAGTAGAGGGAGTTAGATTAGGTTCATTTCAATTATCCGATAGGGAGTGGTTCAAGTATGGCGAAACAGTATCGAGGTACTCCTCTTTAGAGGATTGTTTACTGCCGAATTTAGAAAAAAAACATCTCCTGTTTTGTCGATTAATTTTGGATGGATTACCTTACGTCACTGCAGAAGTTCCATATCTGTTCGACCCTGTTCGTCAAAACCCATCATCATCTTCTACTACTGCGGGTTCTTGATGACTCTTCTCTACGACCCTCTATCCTTCTTCTTCTCCCTCTTTTCCTTTCATTCTGAACGGTTCCCTCGACGACTTCCTTCAACCAACAGTTCATATTCTTAGCACCTGTCCAAAATGTTCAACCCTGCTGTCGACCCCCTAATCAGGGTTATAACCCCTTCAATAATTTCAGATTGGACGTTTGGTCGAGTGATACATCATTGGACAGGGCCCTACACGACTACGGTTTAGTTTTCAAATTCGAGCGAGTATTTTGGAGGATATTTTCTTACGAGTAATTCAGTCTGTTTCGTTTTTATTGTGCCACCCTGTATACACAATACACAAGTGTGGACTAGAGCCAAACGACGAGTCTCAGCCGCTTATAGAATGGTAGTGGACGACTTGCCGAACTCGTGTGTATTCTTGGACGACGAATTCCTGGCATCGGGGCACCAGGTTGTAATCCTTTTGCCCCTATAAGTATCTGGAAATAATGTTTGTTATCTCTAGTGATGAAATCCGTGATGGTGGGCATGTCCAGATCACGATGGATGTCTGCGTTTCGCCATCCTCAGCGTCTTGTGTTGGGCGATCTGAGCAAGGTGTGATGGTGCGGAGTGCTGTTTGGAGTCTTTTATAAATGACCGCTGGTTGCCAGGATCCTGTCTGGATGGCGACGTCGGTCGCGTAGAGAGCCATGGTGGTGTCCCGTGTCCGTAACGTACAGAGAAAACAGAAGCGGCGAGAGTAGGGACCCCTGGGCTGTTGCGACCTGCATCCCTCGATGTCTTTGAGATATGATGCAACAATCTGGACCATGGCTGTGTGGAGACCGGATTCCAGCACTTTCCACAGTAATCCGTTGTGTCAAACCTTATTGAATGCCTTAGAGAAGTTGATCCCGTAGACTGGTTGCGGTTGAAGCAGATGTCCCCTTTCCCCTTTCTGAATCCAATTCATTCGCCTTGAATGACGTGTCTCTCCTCCGTTTGGTCCTGCAGCCTCCTGAGAATCACCGCTTCCGTTACTTTGGGGATCGTCGGCAGCAGCCTGATCGGGCGGTAGTTCTGGGGGAACGTCATGAACTGGCCCGGTTTCCGTAACATAATTAAGTCGGTACCTTTCCACCGAGATGGTCCTCCGACTCCGTGCAGCGTGAAGGATCTCGGTAAGGAGCGGTGCAGCGCCCTTCTCCTCCTCCCTCAAGGATCGTAAGCGGTTTTACCAAGATCCGTTTGTGAAATCGCGGATGGCGGTCTTGATCTGGAAGCGCGCTCTGGATCGGTTCTTCTCTCAGGCTTCGTATCCGACCCGGAAGGCGATAATCGTCTCTGCGCTCTCGAAACGACTTCGTGGCGTCTCGTAAGGCAGCCTGCAGGATTTTTCCAAACTTCGATTACCGTTGGATCGTTCGTTATCGTTTCCTTAACACGATTTCGGAAGGCGGGCGATGACGTCATGTTCGAGGTACGATTTCACGTAGATGGCGACACCGCTTCCTCTCGCATTCGGTCGATCGTTCCTGTAGAATCTTTAGTTCACCATGAACTCTAGGAGATCACCCTAACTCCGTTCCTTCCGTTCCCATCCCTAACTTTACCCATCCTTACAATCCCATTCTCTGACTGAAGAGGGCCAGGAAGCCCTGAGCAGCCCGCCTCCGGTATCCCTGTAGTTAGGGGTGCCGGAGGAATGAAACACGTTGGCCTTTTTCCTTTTTTTTTTCCTAGGAGATCACCGAGGCGCGTGGCGCAGTGGTTGCGCTCACCGACGCTATACGGGAGGTCGTGGGTTCGAATCCCGCTGCCGACTGCTCTGTCTGGGGTTTTGTCAGGGGGTTTTCCTCAGACATACGTAGCTTCGCATAATGCTAGCATTATGTTGAAATCTACGAGGCGAATGCTGGAGCAGTACTCTCTTCCCTCTCAGAACTGGACTAGGATGCCGCAGTCTGAGAGGTCATTGGCTTTGGTAAAGGCCAGTTTCCTTTCGAGCTATCGCCAACCATTCATCCTTTGAACTTTGTAAAACCGTGGACTTATTTAATTCAACACTAAATTGTTTATTAACGGAGATTAATCTTTAATTACTATTTTTACTATAGTTCTTTGGTTTTTTGATTATTAGTTGTCCTGTAATTGGAATTGGTTTTCTGTTGGGCATTAAACTATTATTATTATCCTTCTTTCGAAGGACAAGGGGAGGTGGGGTGGGAGTCGAACGTCCCTTCTCTCGAGTAGGTGTTGCCGATTACAGTTCTTTTGTGGCTACTGGTCTCGGTAGGATTTTTCGGTACCACTTTAAGGGTGTATTCCACTTAAATTTTAAATCTATTTGACGTATGATGGGTTGCATAATACTTACTTGTAATGAAATGTTAACGAATAAACAAAGATTGAAGAATTTACCTGCCCAACCATTGTATAAAGTGAACAAGTAGGTAATTACGCTAATTTATCCAGGTCATTAGTCATTGTGATGAATATGCATATATAATTAAACATCGATTAGAAAGCGCAAATCATTGTCACAATGGCTAATCCTCAATAATTTTACTTTTCCCAGTTTTTAATAAGAGTATATATTTTTTTAACCTAGTAATTACTCCATGAATTGTATCGACCCTATCTGGAAAATAACGCATGTAAGCGAATAAGTACCTATAAATTAGATATCTTTAAAAAAATGTACATTTTTTTACTAATATTCTAGACGTGTTACAAAAATCGTCTAATTCGGGAACAACACAAAATAAATGAGAACTAACGCTTTTTACGCAAACTATATCTCTTTCCGAAAGATGCTACAAGGAAATAATCTCAAATTTTTATCAAACTAAACTAAAATTTTAGGGGCGTTACAAAAAACGTCAGAAAAGTCGCAAACTTTTAATTCACCCAAAAATAAATCACATTTTCCGTGTGAATTCTATTACCCAGTATATAATATAATGGAATTATAATACTGTAACGGAAACGCTCCAGACATGACGTCGCCTTTGGCGCTCTGGAATTTTTTACGCGCGCGATAGTGGGATTTGTGTAGGAATATTCGAGACTGTACGCGAATGTTCTGGACTTACATTGCTTGCGTGTATAAATGGTTGCGGACCGAACATCGCGGCAGTCTACTACCGAACGAGTACGTAAACATCGAGCGCGGAAATATAAATTGCGAAGTGTGAGTGGTATATAATAATCGATATAAATTGTACGGATTTTATAGTGTTATAGTTCTGTTTAATAAATATTGATATAAATCGAACCCGAATTTATAAATAACGTTACATTGGTGACAGAAGTGGGATTAATTAAATTAATTAAAAGTAAGATTAAATTAAGTGCTTGTGCTTGTGTATGCCTGTAACAAGATCTGCTGCCGCTAAAATGGAAGAAACGATGCTCAATTTGCTCCAGCAAATCCAAAATGGCCAACAGGTGTTGCAACAAGAAATGAAAAGCAACCAAGAGAAGTTGGAAGAAAATACTAGAAATTTTGAAGAGAAGTTCGAGAAAATGGAAGAAAATTCTAAAAAGATTAATGAAGCAAATTCTAGAAATATTCAAGAGAAGTTCGAGAAGATGGAGGAAAATTCTAGAAAGATTATCGAAGAAGTCTCTAAATCAATTGAAGAAAAAGTTGAAGATAAAATTACGGAAGTTTCCAAAACATTTAAAGCAAATTCGTTGAGATTGAGCACAAGTATGAAGAGCTGCGCCAGCAATTCTTGCGACTGAGTACGGAAGAGCGTACTAGTAGTGCCCCAGATGAATTACTGATGGACCGTCTTCTTGAGGTGCCACAGTCTACTCATTACAAGAAAGTCGACCCAGAAACAAATACAAGAGTAGAAGGCGACGTTCAGCAAGCCCGAGTAAAGCCACCTACTTTTGATGGTAAGATTCCTTGGACCACGTACGTTCGACAGTTTGAAGCAGGGGCTGCGGCAAATAAATGGACTCTTCAAGACAAAACTACAGCCCTGATTCTTGCTCTGAGAGGAGATGCTCTGGATGTGTTGCGGACCATCCCCGAGGATCAACAAAACTTCCAACAAATAGTAGCGCGACTCGAAATGCGATATGGCGATAAACACCTTCAGCAAGTTTACTATGCCCAAGTCAAGAACCGAATGCAGAAACCTGGAGAAAGTTTGCATGAACTTGAAGCGGACATCGCTAGACTGATTCGATTGGCATACCCTACGGCACCGGAGAGCTTTCTTGATCAACTGGCTGTACAAACATTTATCGATGCCGTTCGTGATGGAGATGCCCAGCAGGCTTTGAGACTGGCTAGCCACGACAAAATTGAGAAAGCTTTGGCCCATGCGTTAGAATTCGAAGCCGCCAAGAAAGCTAGTCATGGAAGTGCGCGAGTACGTATGGTGGAACCTCGCAGTGAGAGCCGGGTAAGAACCATCGAAGAGGAAGGTGGCTCTGAATTTTGAAGAAAAGGTCAGTAAAGTAGTGGTAGAAAAGGTTAGTAAAGTAATGGAAGAAAAGGTCAATAAAGCAATACAGTCACTGGCAAAGAAACGTGAACCACGATGTTGGAATTGCGGCGAGATTGGACACGTTCGCCGAAACTGCCAAAGACCATTGCAGCAGTCGGAAAACTAAGAAAGGTCGACAGGAAGGGGCTATCGTCGACCTGCAGAAACAAAGCCCCGATCTTCACTGTAAACATTTCGTCGTCTGGAAAAGTTCACAATAATGCAGACGCTTTGTCAAGAAGACCGGTGCAAGA